CCTTCTTCCCAAATTTTGTTCCAGGTGTTGTTGCATCAGATCAGGCACCTTACCTTTTCCCTGGCATCTCACCACCATCGTCTGTTGGAGAAAATTTTTCACTGGGTAGCTGTTTATTCCTTGTCTGGGTACTGGCTTCTACCTGTTTCCATCCTACAAACTTGGCCCCAACATAGCCAGGTGGTTAGGGAGCTAGACTCGCAATCTGCAGGTCGCGGGTTCGAATCCCCATCCCACTAAACATGCTCGCCCTTTCAGCCATTGGGGCGGTATCATGTGATGGTCAATGCCACTATTTGTTGGTAAAATGGTAGCCAAAGAATTGGTGGTGGTGATTAGCTGCCTTCCCTCTAGTCTTACACTGCTAAATTAGAGATGGCTAGTGCAGATAGCCCTTGTGTAACTTTGCGTAAAATTAAAAAACAAAGAAACCTACAAACTTTGGTGAGACTGTGATTGGGTAAGTTATCTTTTCTATATACATTTTAATTTCTTTCATTGGAATATCCCTTTTTCATTAAGGATCTCACTCTGTGGTGAGCATTACCTGACCAGGTATACTTAATATATTTCAAATCTACATTGTACAACCATGATAAAATCATAAAATACAGTATACCCATGGCCAATAATGTTGAGATGGGATGTTCCACAAGATTGCTAGTAGGTTTTTTCCCTTGTGATATATTTGTTTCATTAATATGCCCAATCCAGGCTGTTCTAACATGAATAAAGCAGGAGTTATCCCTTCAATTGAATAAATGAGGGGTGGTCTTCTTTTCAAAATAGGGATTATGTGGTCACCCATTACACTCTCTGGTATTGCCATTCCTCTGGACTCTCCACCACATTTTAGCCTCCCCTTCTGCTTCATGTGAAATATGGAGTGCTTGCCAAATTCCAATTCTGAACTACTGGGGTGGTGGACCATGCAGACATCCTCCTGAATGTGATCACAAATAATAAACATAAATGTCAAAATCCATTTAGTAGAGAGTAAGGTGGTGTAGATGGTGTGTAGTCGTCCATTAATGTGCACAGCTTCTGTGCAGTTCTATCCAGAGGGTACTGTTGAATATAATTGATTGAGGCAATCCCCTTCTGTGCAGTGTGACCTGGAAGTTTGTGATGCACTCCAATTCTGTATGGTCCTATCTGAGGGGATCATGTTGCACATGTCTACTAATAAGTATGCTCCTCCTTTGTGTGATGGGACCCAGAGGTTGATGTTGTGCATGGCTTCTGTGTGGTTCTATTCAGAGGATGAGGTTGCTTATAATTTATGGATGAAATCTGCTTCAGTGAGGTAGGACCCAGAGGTTCATATGGTGCTCCATCTTTTATGCAGTCTTATATGGAAGATGATGTTGCTTTGGAGTTGATCCATCACATTGCAGTTCACACCTTTGATTAGGATCCATCATCCTACCATCACATGGATGTTGGTTCCCAGTGACTAATTTGGGATTTAGAGCAGGATCAATCAACATAAGTCCTCACACATGTGTTACTTGTCCCGAGGTTGATGTTGTGCCCAGCTTATGTGCAGTTATTTCCGTTGGGTGAGGTGGTTATACTTTTCTTTGAAGTACATCTACTTCCGTGAAGTGGAACCTGGAGGGTGGCATTGTGCTCCATCTTCTGAGCAGTGCTATCCGGAGAATAATGTTGCAAGAGGCAACAGCTGTCCCTTTTGTGTTCCATCTCAAGGAATTTTGTGGCTCGAGGATAATGTTGCACAGTGAGGTACCAGTCTGAGTTTGAGTTTAATGTCACCTGCCACATGGGTACAATTCTAACTGCTGCCATTCAGATGTCAGGTTCGTGAATGTGTGGTTATTTGTTGATTTGCACACATGTGCCCATTTTGTAGATCAATTTGCACAGTATATAATTCCATTCTACTGCTCTTTAGGGGAACACAGTGTGGACCATCCCCCTATCACAGATCGGTGGTTATATTCCTATACCAATTGGTTTTGGTGTAAAGTTGACCTGTCGTGTAGGGTCCGTCATGCCCTAGCCCATGTGCACCTTGGAGCACATCCATTTTAGCTTTCCTCCACATTACTTTATGTAGATGTTTCTTCTATGGTCTTTTTTTCGACAGGATTTAGAATATGATATACTGCAGTTTGTATTCCAGTCCAACCATTTTTCTCTCACTTTTGGTTGTGCTCTTCCATTTTTTTGCCTGTGTATGCAACACCTCTTTCCACTTTGATTCATTCTAATCAGTCCCAGATTTCTAGGATTTGCCTTACTTTGATCACCCTATTACATACTAGTTTCTCATTACAATTGTTATCTCAAGCCTTCTGCCAGTCTCCTGATCAATTCCTGACAGAACTCAGGACCCTCCTGTGGTCTAACATGGTCCATTTATTGGCTTCACCATTGTCTCTCACTGTCTGGATCTTATTTTGTTTGGATTTGCTGTGGAATGATGCAGTACTTGTGAGGGTGCATCTCCGCCTTTCTTCTTTAAAGGATCTTCGTTAAGCCCCGTTTCTTTGCGAAATGGTCTTTGGGAGGTCATCCCGAGTCTTTAATGTCCAGGGTCAATGTGGTGAGACTACATTCCTTGTTCTCCCTGGCCTCTCCTTTGTCTCCTACTGTTGATGCCCAATCTTCAGCTATTAGGCTTCCCCATGCCCCTTCCTCCTAACCCTGTCCCTTACCCTACTCCAGGCATTTCTTTCCTTATGCTCATTCTTCCCATTTCCATTCCTACAGGGTCAGCATTATTGGTGATGGGATGTGTTTTAATGGACAGGTGGCGGCCAGATTGCAACAGTTTTCAACTGTCCGGGAACTCTTCACGACAGATTCGTTGGTTTTATGGGTTCTGTCAGAGGGTTTTTACCTTCAGTTCCAGTCCCCTCACCCATATCTTCTATTTTGATTTCCTTTCCTCTTCCTCAGGATCGTGCCTCATCCAGTCATCTAGAAGAGTTGGTTCGAGACCTTCTTCACAAACGAGCTATCAAATGCCAGTTCTTCGGGATTTTACTCATGTCTATTTGTTGTCTCCAAAAAGATGGGAGATTGGAGACCCATCATTGATCTGTCCTGGCTGAATATTTTTCTGGAAATACCCCGATTCACCATGGAGTCTTACCTCTCCCTTTAATGTTTTTTTTTTCCCTGAGGTCTTTGGATGACCAAATTTGACGTGACAGATGCTTATTTTCATATTCTCATTGCTCCAGAGTGACGTCGTTATCTTCAGTTCATCCATAGGGTGTGTCTTTGAGTTTCAAGCACTGCTGTTCGGTCTTGCTTTGGCTCCTTATGTGTTCTGTCATTTTGTTCTTTTTTTTTTGCATGTCATTTTCACTCCTTGGGTCTTCGGACTCATTATTACATGGATGAATTGCTACTGGCCTACTCTGTCACTCACACCTGCTTCCTTCTTCAGGAGTCTGCTAAGGTGGGTTTTCTCATCAAGTTGGAAAAGTATTTTTCTAACTCCCACACAACACCTTATTCATGTGGAGGTTCTCTTCAATTCCTCATGAGTGGGATTTGTATGATAATTAAAACTTTTTAGTCATATGTACCCACTCTGTGGGAAGAGGACTATTGTTGTGATGCTTCATATTTTGCACTATCATAATATTTTCAATCCAAGGAGCTTCTCCCAGTTGTTTTTTGTCCAGGGTGGACTGCATTTGTTGATCTTATAAACTTATGCAAGGTACTTCTATGTTGTTTTTGCCTTTGGACTGCACTTGGCATAATCCATCATATTGCAAGGCACTTCCCCTGGATGTTTTCTGCCTGGGCAGACCACTTTTGGCCTATTAATTTACAATTACAGTCTTTTAGCCATAGCCATGTATTCAGTTTAGTTCTGCCTTATATGTCTTTCTTTCTTCTTTACTCGGCAAAGAGCATTTGTGTTCCAGAAGTAGTGCAATACCCCGCAGGTGTGCCTTTTTTTCTTATTATGGCACATCTGTTCTTTCCAGGCAATTGCTCTCCACCTGATTGAATACTGCCGTGTCCTCAACAGCCCGTCCACCTTTGCAATGTGGGATTCTAGCTTTGGGTGAGTAGATGTAGTACTGTTTTGGAAGTTAACATTTTCTTACACTGAAAATGTATTTCTGATAGGTACTTACCTCTTTTTACCCACTTCTGCCCTTCCTCTCCACTGATTTGCTGGTATTTCTAGTTTTTATATGTCAATTCTTGAAAGTGAGGATTGTGCTGCAATGGTAGAGGGAGCTACCTGTGCTAGTATAGGTGGTGCAGTATGATTGGTGGAGGATAGTTACATGATCAGCACATGTTGCTGCAATGACACAAAAAAATGAAGGTGTATAAAAGACTGGTGTGCTGTTCAAAATTTTAGTAACTCTTAGAGGGCAAATCAAGGTCGAGATAGATCTGGGTGAGAAGAGAGGTAAGTACCCACTGGAAATACATTTTCAGTGTTAGAAAATGTTAACTTATACCAACTGTACACATTTCAAGCAGCTGTAAGGACAAGACTCATAAAAAAAATATGGTGCTGTGCAAGTTTTGCATTACCCTGTAATATATTAGGAGATGAAATGGATATGTTTAAGTTGACAGTATGTACTACAACCATTAACTAATCAACCCACTCAAAATGTCTGTGATGATATTTCTCTGTTGTTTAATTATTTAAGTGATTTTTCTTTTTAGTATTTTGATGTTCATATTGCAGGTACATAGATTCTTTAACATTGGAGGAAATATGGTTTTTATAACCAAAATATTCCTGTTTGGCTGTAAAATTAAAAACTTGCTTTTTAAGAGGTACCTACTTAATTTATGAACAATATGAAGTTTTGAATCAGCAACCTGTGGAACTACAGATTTAATTCTGTGCAGAAATAAATTTACTGTTGCACAAATAGCTGTTTCCAAAATTTGTATTGTTAATAGAATTTATATGTATTATTGTGTAATTCAAAATCCAAACAAATTTACAAAAAAAACAAAATTAACACTATTTTTATTTTCAGACCTTATACAGAATTTGAATTGTAACAGCCCTCTTCTGAAGAGAATTCAACTGGCAAAAGAATTGTATATAAATGATGCATTGTGTATACCAAGAAAGAAAGAAATTATTTTAAACTGGTTTTCTGATTTGATCAGTTGCCAACATCAAAAGTAAGTATTTCCATAAATACATACTTCCTTGTTTTCTTTTTGTTAATTAAACATTTCAAGCTACAAAATTACCTGGTTGGGAGGGTCAATAGGATAGAGGTTTTTGATATTTTTGTTCTACATTCTAAGACAATGGGATGAGAAGACACAAACTTGAGATCTTTACATGCATAAGTATAAGAGATTCAAAGTATAACAGTCAACTGAACATTAAAAGTCTTGTATTTCAGAGAAGCAAGAATACTTGAAACTGATAACACTAGGTACACCTGAACATTTGTTTGTGAGATAAAACACCTACATTAGCATCAAGTTTGTCTTTGTTTGTTGGGAGATGTGATGGGTCTTTTGAGTGGTGGAGTAGCTCATGCAGCCTGTGCCTTCTTTTATACCTTCCTGATGGAAGAGACTTTGCCAGTTTTTTCACACTACCTACTCTTGCCTTATTTTATACCCATGCTGTCTTGAATCTACCTAAATATTTTTCGTAATTTTTGGACTAGGTTTTTCAAGTACGTTTCACTCCTTCTCTTTGTAAATCTTTCCCTGCTTCTTCTTTTTATCTTTCTATCCAGATATGCTAGTCCATCATCAATTTCTTTTACCACTACTTCAGTGCAGGCATTCCTTGTCCTCCTCCCTTTGTTACTTACCTCTTAAGACTAGGCCTAACTGTTCTGTATTTTTTAGACTTTGTTTTACACCTTTGTCTTACACTCTCTACCCTTTTCCATTATTTTTCTTCTTCTTTCCATTGTAATCCATCATTCCCCTTGGGAGTTTTGGTGGATGTTAGTTCACTTATTTTCTCTTCAGTCACACGTTTATCTTCCTTGGTCTTAGCCATTCATATTTGATTGATCTGTTGCTAGTTAGGGCTGGCATGGCCAGGTGGTTAGGGTGCTCGACTCGTAATCTGTGGGTCGCGGGTTCGAATCCCGTCACACTAAACATTCTCGCCCTTTCAGCCGTGGGAGCATTATAATGTGACGGTTAATCCCATTATTTGTTGGTGAAAAAGGTAGCCCAAGAGTTGGCAGTGGGTGGTCATGACTAGTTGCCTTCCCTCTAGTCTTACACTGCTAAATTAGGGATGGCTAGCATGGATAGCCCTCGTGTAGCTTTGCACAAAATTCAGAACAAACCAAACTGTTACTAGTTTTTGTTGGAGAGGGATATCCTTGTTACTCAAGTCCCTTTTTTTTCATATGTCTTTGTCTGGCTTCTTTCATTTGCCTGTGTGATTTTCCTGGAGTGCTTGTTTCTCTGGGGTCATGTGTTTGGCCTGCATTGCAAGGTCTTCCTTATCCTTGCTGTTTTACTGACTCTCTTATGCTCCTGTTTGTCTCACTCTATCTCCTTTCCTCCTGCTTCCTCTTCTCTCCCTATCACCATTTCTCATTCCCCTGTTTCTATCTGTTCTCCCACCATTCATAGACTTCAGTGTTGTCTGTCTTTGCAGTGACTATCCTATAGGCTAAGAGTCAGTGGATCCTGTTTCCTTAAGCTTGTGGACCTTTGCCCTCCATTTGCAGCCAATTCTGGACTACTGTGAGTTCTGTCAGAAAGCCTTACTCTTCATTTTTTTTCCTATCCTACATTTTTGTTTCCTGTTTCTGTTACTTTCCCTTCTTCTCGGGATCTTATTTCTTGCTATCATCTGTGGCAGTGTTAGATCTAATGGCTAAAGACTATCAGATAGGTTTCTCATCCTTTTCTATGATTTATTCCCATCTTTTTGTGTTTTCCAAGGAATCTCTAGCCAGGTATTCGGTCTCAGTCAGTTTCTCAACCTCCCTTGATTTACCATGAAGTCTTTTCTCCCCCTTTGGTAACCTTTTGCCCCAGGTTTTGGGATGATCATGGTGGACTTCTTGGATGCTTCTTTTCTCATTTGGGTACATCCCAACAAGCCTTCTCTTTAGAGAGTTGGCGAGTCTGGTTTGGTTGATCAACCTTGAAAAGTTGCTTCTCACACTCATTGAGTTTCTCATTCATTTGGGTATTTTTCAGTTCCATACAAACAAACCTGCTGTTATCTCCTATATCAGTCACCAAGAGGGCACCTGATCTTGCTTCCTCTGTTTCCATGACCTCAACCTCTTTTTCTGGACCTACTCTAGGTCTAATAGCTTGTAATTTCTGGATGCCCTGATTCTTGTCTCGGGTTGTCTTTTTTGACTGGACAAAATACTACCTATGGAGTGGTCCCTCAATCCTCTGGTATTCCACTGGCTGTGCTCTCACCTGGGCACTCCTCTTATTGAAGCTTTTGCCACTTATCTCGACATCATACTACCCTTTTTCTGGTCTCCGGTTTTCACCTCTCAGCTTTTGCTGTGGATGTATTCACTCAGGATTGCTCAAATATGTCTACCCTCCTATTTGTCTTCTCCCTCACATGCTTTCCCACATTTTGGTCACTCCATGTTGAGTCTTGCTTACTCTCCACTGGTTGGCTCAGCCATGCTTTCCTGTACTGAACCTTCTCCAGTCTTCTTCTCCTCTTCCTCTACTTCTATCATACTCCCTATTCCTTCAACTCTACTCCTCTCTCTCCCAGCCAGCAATTTATCACTCTGGCTTCAAATGTGGGTTTTGTCCAGTCCTTTGTGAGACATTCCAGACTCTCTTCATGTGTAGCCTTCCTTCTTTCTTGTTCTGTTCATTCTTCCTCCCACACTCCCAAAAAAATCATGAAAATAGCACACATTCCATAGTTTGGATCTGCTTCATGCTTTATCCCCTTCTCCTCCTTCTGTCCTCATTTTTCTTAATTTTTACATGGCTGTTTGCTCATTGCTTATTGCTTTTGGCCATTGCTGGCTACAGGGCAGCTTTACCTAATACTTTCAGGTTTTCCCATTATCCTCATTTATTCTCCTCTCCTGTCCTTTCTCTGCTCTTTCAATGTTTTTGCCACCTTCCCCACCCTCATCAAGCAGTCCTTCCTTATCTGGCTGTACTGTTGTTCTCCATGCCATTACCCTTTTTCTCTTCTCATCTTTCATTTCTTGTTCCTTGTACCATCTTTTGCTTAAGTCTTATTTCTTTCTTTTTGTCTGTAGCTCTAGAAGGTCTGATGTGTTTGCTATTGATGATCCCCTTATTCTTTTTTCTTTGTTCCTTGTTGTCCTGCTCATGCTTTTGTTCTAAAATGTCTGTGGCTTGTGAAGGGGAAAGTTCATTCACTCCTATTTTACTTCCTTCCATTCCTCAACTATATTCTCATTCTGTTCCTGATCATTTTATCTGTCCCATCTGTGTAGTACGTTGTTATTTGTCTCACACTGCTCCTTTTCACAGTTCATGCTACCATCTTTTTATTTTATAGAGTTCCTTATCTCCTTTGGATATTTATCCTATTATCCTCAAGGGGTGGTTACAGCAGCTTATCCATTTAACCTATGCTTCATTGGAAGTAGATTCACCTTGACTCATTTAGGTCTCTTCTCGCTAAATCTGACACCTTACTCTATCTGGCTGCTCACTTCTGTCATCCCTTGATATAGTTTGCACAGGTTGATATGTGGACTGCCCCTCATTCTTTCATTGCACATTATCTTCATCATTCGACTGTCTCTTCATCATATCGACTTCATCCCATTGCCATTTTACATCACCTACTGACTCTGACTGGGTAAATGCATTTTCAAAATATCTTCCTTTTGCAGTGGCTTATTTCTACATTTCTGGATCCTCCTCAGTGGCAAGTGGTTCCTGTCTGAACATACTTATCTTTAAATCCATACCATGCAACTTTTAAGGTCTATAAAGCTCAGTGATGAGATGGGGTGTTCCACAAGACCACTCGAGGATTTCTCACGGTATATTGCTTCATAAATGAGGTCCATTCTAGACAATATCAACTCATGGACTATCGTGAGTAAAACAGTGTTGGGTTTGTTGCCCATCCCTCTGGTTTGATGTACTTTAACCATTCTACACCATCTGGAACATCCATTTGCAAAATTGAACTTGCATCCTTTCTGCCCATTTTGGCAATACATATCTTCACTGTGGATGAAGAGTATACCCTGGTACAAATGAGTGTAGTCTCCATGGGTGTGACCCTGTGTTTTAGGGTATCATGCTCCATTGGTTCTGTTTATGTGCCTTTTGAAGGGGGCTCATCTAGGTAAACTTTGCACTGGTCCTTCCACCATTTCATTGTGGGATTCTAGCTATTATGTGAAGTGGGGTATCATATCTGAAGTTAACATTTTCAAATGCTGGAAATATAGTTCCAATAGGCACTTACCTCCCCTCACACTTCCTACTTGTTCTCCCCACTTCTGGTGCACCTAATTTTGCTTAATCTTGAAGTGATGAGTGTGAACTACATTATAGAGGTAGTCAGCTGCACTAGGAAAGTGTGTTGCACTTTTATTGTTGGAGAATTGTCACTGCTCATTTGCTTGCCACCATGCAGCTATATCATGTATAATCACTTGAAGTTAGGTGAGAGCTTCAAGGCTTGTGGCGAGCAAACATTGGGCATTATAGAGGGCAGCACAAATGGAGGAAAGCTATTATGTGAGAGGAAGTAAGTATCTTTTGGAAATACATTTCCAGTGTTGGAAAATGTTAACTTTTTTGCTAGTCTATCACTAATATGCTAGTGATGGCTATTGCAGACAGTCCTTGAGAAACTTTGCACAAAATTTAACGAACACATCTCAGAAGATTACAGTTTTAGACATATGAACATTTTTTATACAATGGAATAGTTTTTTCTGAAATAATGTGTTTCTCAGAAGTTTAGATAAGCTGAAAAATATGTGATTGATTTCCGATACTGTACATTACTTCCACTCATATGTATAGTTATTCTCATTTAGTGCTGTCCTCTGTATGCAATAGGAGCATGACACACCATCCTGGCACATGTGACTCCCTCTATTCCATTCTACCAAACTATCACTTCTCATCAGGCAGTGATCAATTGTAGTCGTTTTTCACTTGTACTCTTTTCATGTATTTGTTTCTTTTTTTTTGCCAAATAGTAATTTCCTTGATTTAGTCTTTTGCTACATTTAATTTTTCTATAGTAGTTTGCTGCAATAATTTAGTTTTGTTTATTGATTTTTTCTTCTCATTTTCAACTTCATGGTTTAAGATGAATTCCGAAGTTTGTTTTACAACTTCTGATATTATTAATGGCACTGACATTAGGTCTGGGGGCCTCGACTGAGGACTTTTCGGCTATCATTCATTGGGCATTTGATCATTATATGAAGCATCCTTTTTCTTCCGACAGTGTTCGGCCTCCTCCTGCATTGCCCGAACATGTTTATGACGAGGGGGGTTTTGACATTTTTTTTTCCTCCTTCCACCTATGCTTTCTCAGATATGTTCCATTTTCTTGTTTTCAATTTTTCATATGATATTGTTTCTTCTTCTTTTTTTTACATGACACTCATCATCGGAATTCCTTGTTTCCCTTCCTTCTCCTGACATCAGGGTTCATGCTGAGGGTTGGTGTTAGCATGCCTCATCCTCCATGGACTTCTGATCATTATGCTTTGGCTTATCAACAAATTGATCAACCTTTTCTTGACTCCCAGTAGTTGGAGTCACTTTTGCTCATGTGGGAGCTTGTCCCTGATAAAATTAAGCATGGTTGTTGTATTACAATATTGCATCCATAAGTATTAGGTATCTTAACTTTTCACCATGTTTGCAAAGAAATAATAAAACTTTGATGCATGTGGATAATTTCATGTTAAAAATAAACTGGTTAAGACATCAGTGTTAATAGTATTAATAAACAAGTTCCACGTATTTAATACTTACTATACTAGTAAAATGTCTATTTTTTTAGAGACAAATATGACAAAAGAAGAGAAGAGAACTTGCATATTTGGGAATCTTTCAACTCAATATTAGAATTAGAATGCAATGCTAAAACCAGGCCACTACTGAAAAGTTCTTTCGCACAGGTGAGTTTAGTATGTTAATTAAGTTCTTGCTGCTTAAATCACAAAATATTTATTACTTATACATCACATTTCAGTTTTATTTGGAAGATGACTGACTGTCCTAAATAATTATAATTATTTTTTTATTCATGTTAAAATAAACTGATTGATTTGTTATGGCCAGTTAACCACAAGGTTTTAAAAACCCTATGATAAAAAATAACACCAAAATTAACTATATATTTATAATGCATAATGTTTTAATTTTTCACCATTGATGATAAATGCTAATTTTATCATACTTGAATAAGACTATGTCTCATTTTCAATTTACTTGATCAACCTCAACCAATATAAAAGGTATGTTATTTTGATGTTCTATATATTATACATTTTACACTGCATCTACACTCTCACTCTGATGCACCATGACACAACTGGTGTACAATCAACTCCAATCTAAAGTTAACTGAGATTCTTAAAATTGTATCCTATAGGCATGAGGAATAATATCAAGACAGAAAAGAATGTTTATTTTTTTACGTTAAATTAAGTATTTTTCTGTAATTATGATTATAAAGAATTTTAATTAATATTTCAAATTTTAGCAAAACTGTTCTTACTACTTGTGATCTAGAGTTTACCAGATGAGAAAAAAAGTATGGTAAGAAATTTATAAATAATATCTATTAATATGGCTTTGATAAAGTATGAGTTTATTGGTAATATATGTATTTATTCATTTTCTCTTTTTTAACACTTTCATTATTCAAAATGTTTTGTCATAATTGTTTAGGTAATTCTAGAAGCAGTGCAAGAGCTTGAGAAGGACTGGAAAGAAAATTTAGGAAGTATTGTGCTACGTTGTTGTCAGACAATTCTCTTGTCCTCATCAGTGACTTCAGTGTTTTCTCTAAAGTTTGATTTACTGGTATGTATTTTAACTGAATCACTGTTTTTGCTGTGTGCATAAATGTGTATTGTACATGAGATTGAATTGAAGGAAGAAGAACTTACTGTTTTTAATGAAATATGACAAACCAAGATAGATATGGAATTTGGTATAACTAGTCAGCTGTTAAGTTACCTGGTTCTCATTTTACTGTTTTAGTGAATTAACTCCAACTTTTTGTAATCTGCAAAACTAAGTTTTAATGTGAAATCTTTTCTGTAATCTGTAGTGATTACTGGGTTAAGTGACAATATGTAATACATGGATACACATTAAAATGCTATACGTATTATAGTAATTTCTCATTATTTTCATTAATGAAAAATATATTTAAATGCTTAATTTTGGATTATTGTTTTGTTGACTCTACCTTAATTGCTCTTGTCCTCTGGGAGGGGGGGATGTGCTTCACACTTTGGGTAACACTACTGTAGAGTTTGTATAATATGATAGTCTTGCCTTTTGACTGCTATTTTGTGTTTTGCTCTTGGTTAAAACTTATTCTTTTTCACTGTTCCTTACAGAATTTTAAAACTTCTCCAGTGTTTAAGAAGCATTATTTTAATAAACAAAATTTCCAAGTCTGTTGGTGCTATATCAAGAAATGTTTTTTAAATATTTGAAATTCTTTTCCATTTTTCATATGATTTACAAGTAAGGGAAGAGTTGAATAAAGAATATAATATGATACATTTTTGTAATCAAAATTTTGCTTCTGCGTATAAATATATAGTGGTAGGGCAAATAGGATTTTAGGTTGTATCTACAGAAATATTGAATACAAGTCTAAGGAGGTTATAATTTCATTGTACAGGTCACTGGTTGGGCCACATTTGGAATATTTTGTTCAGTCTTGGACTCCTTACCTCAGGAAAGACATTGAATTGTCAGAAAGGGTTACTAGAATGGTACCTGAGATGTAGGAGAGGCTGAAATCTGTCAAATTATTTTCTCTTGAAAAAAGAAGAGTTAGGGGGGATCTGATTGAGCTGTTTAAAATTGTAAAGGGAATTGAGAGTGTTGATGTATCATCTTTTTTTTCATATTTAACAGTGTAAATAGTAGGACTAGGGGACACAAATGTAGATTTTGGCAAAGTAGGAGACATCTTCAGCTAAGGCAGTTTCATTTTTCTAACAGGGTGGTTGGCCTTTGGAATGGGTTGCCTTTGGAGGTTGTGAGTTTAAAAATATTTTAATATAATCTACAGTGTGGAACAGCTGATATGGACCAATAAGTGCCATGTTGTCCCAAAACATTATGTTAAATTCTAAGTCCTAATCAGGATCTGTTTTCTTTCTAACTACTTGGGGTACAATAAGGGAGAAAATTTTATTCAAGTAGTTTTTCTTCCTGGAACCCCTTGTTAAATCCACTTTGAATTTAAAACTTAATTTACACATTGTTGGAATAAATTATTAAAAAAATGACATGATGTTTCTTCGTTTTTATCTTAATATTGTGAACCTTTGGTGATTATGAATACTTTTGGATGGATATGGAATTTTGTGCACAAATCATGTCATCATTTATGAACTAAATCATTATGATATTTATAATATCAGTTAATCATATACATTTTTCTGTTTTTTTTTTGCAGGTGTCTTTATTAGCAGGTGTTGTAAAGCTAGTAATGTTGGTGGATGAAACATGGAACAACAGCATTGTTGAAGAAGTTTCTAGTTTGTTGGATACAGTTGTTAATCAGCTAGAATCATTACAAAAACCAAATCAGATTGAGGTATTTGTATTGTTTATGTTAGATGTATATGACAATTATTTACTCCTATATTAATATATTAGAATTATTTTTCTTAGCTAAATACTTTTTTTTTTACTTTGCTCTTTATAGGTTTTGTATTTTTTTTATACTGTGATGTTTGACCATATAGAAATAACACTGTTTAACGTAAAAATAATTTTCTCAGGATCTAGTGAACTGTGAGTTTGTTTTATGAAAGTAGTTGATAGAACTGGTGAGGCTCAAACTGTGTTTACATTTGTGTTTGATGGTGTTTATTGATAATACAAAACTCTATACGGTTGCAAACAGTTTGTATATAATAATCTTTCACATTTCCCTGCAGTAAATCTTGGAAAGAAAAGATCTCAAATGCAGATATAATTGTATTACTTTAATTCCTAAGTAGTTGTTTATGTGTATTTTTAGAAGAGATGAAATGTTTATTGAATAAATATATATTAGCTCTGTATAGCTTGTTCAAAATCATATTTTACGAGTAAGTTACTTTGTTTTGGTGTCTGTTTATATCTTCTTGCTCCAGTATTAAAATATAATACAGATTTTAATTTTAATACTAATTCTGAATGATTCCCTACATGTTTGTGTAAGTTCATAGATCCAGTCTCAAGAGCCCCCAAACCTTTATCCCCATATGGGGGTTGGGGTGGGATCAAATTTGGAAACTTACAAAAAATTAATTTACATTGTTTTTTTGAATAAAAGTGAAGTGAACTTATGTTCATACTTGGGTAAATTTGAGAATTACTATTTAGATATTTTTCGTGTACTTTCTGAATAACATAATCTTACTATAGTATTTTAATACTTATGGTTTTTAAACAAAATAACTTTTTAGTATAACCCCCACCCCTGTAATATACATATAAATGTTCACTCTATTGTTTTTAGAAAATAAAACAATTTTTTTTATATTGAAAGACATACATAAAATTAACCTAGCATCCTGACAAAAGTTCAAATTAATATAAAACTAGCAGCAATAGGTGAAGGTGATGTCTACTGCACCAATAAAACTAGCAGCAATAGGTGAAGGTGATGTCTACTGAACCAATAAAACTAGCAGCAATAGGTGAATGTGATGTCTACTGCAGCAATAGATGAATGTGATGTCTACTGCACCAATAAAACTAGCAGCAATAGGTGAATGTGATGTCTACTGCACCAATAAAACTAGCAGCAATAGGTGAATGTGATGCTTACTGCACCAATAAACTAGCAGCAATAGGTGAATGTGATGCTTACTGCACCAATAAAACTAGCAGCAATAGGTGAATGTGATGCTTACTGCACCAATAAAACTAGCAGCAATAGATGAATGTGATGCTACTGCACCAATAAAACTAGCAGCAATAGATGAATGTGATGTCTACTGCACCAATAAAACTAGCAGCAATAGGTGAATGTGATGCTTACTGCAGCAATAAAACTAGCAGCAATAG